ACTCAAATAGACAGCTCCCTTTGCCCCTGATTTGACAGATTTAATGATGTAGTAAATATCACTAGGATCTAAGAGGGTTGAAGAAAATGTGTTTTCACAAAATTTATTATCATTATAGTACTTGTAGACATCCTCTGGAGTAAACTGTCATAAAATATTGATTAATACTCACAGGGTCATTAGATTAGATGGTCAGGTATAGTTATTTTTTCTGATGCCTGCACTTCCATGCTTTTTAACTCGGATCACAGCATCTTAGATTTTTTTTGTTGATTCATAAAATTTAAATACGCTTTTTTTTTGCGTGTCGAGTGGATGGCAACGCTAAATTCAACAGCTTGAAACGCACCGAATTAGCTTTAGCAGCGGTGATGTCTGCCAGAAAAGCTGAGTATGCTTTAGACTTTTACTTCAAGATTTGTACCAAAATATGCCTTTATAAACTAAACATGACGAAACTATTTACTTCTAAAACAATTTATTTTCTCAAAATCATTTTAGATACACTCTAGTCGTAAAAAATACATATTTGAAATCACTTAGACCTATAACTAGTAGATCATCTGAACAAATAAACAATGTGCGAATAAATGCGCGAAGTTAAGAAAGCAACAGTTGAAAGATTACCATTGGGTAACATCACCTTTATTTTTTATTACGGCTGAAATTCTTTGGGGTGTTAACCAAGTTTTGGAAAAAATTTGGTGTTAAACAATCCCATATTTCTTGAAGCTTTTGTCTCAGTTCGGTGATTGTACGAGCAGGATGTTGTCCTAGAACCTTTTAAATCTCGTGCCACAAAGTTTCAATAGGTGACAGATCTGGACTGTTAGAAACCTATTTCAAAAGTGGTACATTATTTTCTTCCATCCATTTTATAGCCTTTTTTGAGGTATGGGACGCTGCACCATCTTGTTGAAACACAAAATCTTGGCCGGATGTCAGACATTCTTCCATCACAAGCGATTCTTCTAAAATTGCCAAATATTTGTTTGTATCCACATTTCCATCAATAAAGTGAAGTTTTCCTACTCCTTTTGATGACATACTGCCCCAGACCATACTGAATGCTGGAAATTTCACTTTTCTCTTCAGACAGTCAACATGGAATGATTCATTTTTTTGCGAATAACTCTACTGCGACTGTCACCAACACAAACTTCGAATCGGGCCTCATCACTCCATTGTATTGCACACCATTGTTGAGGTGTCCATTGTCTATGTTCTTTAGCCCATCTAAGCCGATTTTTCTTTTGCAGTGGAGTTAATAGTGGCTTTCTTTGGCCTATAAACAAGTTGTGCAACTTTAGGGCTTTTACTTCACTTTTTTTATAAGAAAACTTACCTTGCAAGTGCTAAATCCCAGTTTGTGGGCCTCTCTATGAGTTGTGGACCTCGAAATTCTCCTTCCAACAGCGTCACTCAACAGAGCACTTAATTGTAAATAATTGGCACGCCTGTTTTTCACGATTATTCTTCTTAATGCTCTTCGGTCGGCATTTGTGATATTACTTTTTTTCACATATCGTGGCTTAATATTAACTGGACCAGTTACGTTATATCTTCTAACAATATTTCTCACACTGAAGCGCGATAAGTCTAACAAAGTTGCAATTTCTGAGTTTGATTTCCCAGAATTAAAAAAATTAATTATCAATAACCGAATTTTCTCACTAATAACCTTTCCTCTACCCATTTTGAAAACCTTAGCTACCCAAAACTATTTTAAACGTATTCTGACAGCTGTGATTAATAAAAATAATTGTCATGCCTTTTATTTTTCACAGCCACTTATGCGTTATAGACTTATTTTGCATTGAAATGAAAATAGGTTGATATGCTGTAATTGCAACATGTGTTATTTTTATGCTGCAAATTTGATTAGGGAGTGATAAAGTTGGTGTTTTCTACTATATATTATCAAAATATTCATTGTTAATATTTTAAACCTATAACACCCTGCTGCATTTTTATTATTTGTGTTTGATAAGAAAAAAACTAAGATTTCAATAGTTGGGCCAACTGAAGTGGGAAGGGGCTATTTATTTATTCAGATATGCATCAAGCAGGGATTCTGTAAAGTATTTTACTTTATCAACAATATTCTCCATGTAACACGTGTTGATCAAATGTTTAGCTTCCAAACTTTCCAGCAAAGCATCTTCATCAGAAAATGAAAAATCTCTGAAAGTAACAAGTTTTTGTCTAGTTTTATTGTTGCTGACATGCAAAATCAGACAATCTTGTGATCTCGTATAGTCAATTTTTTAAACATCTCTATGATTTGTTTCCTACGAAACTTTAAATATGGTTAAATGTTTCTCACAAGAGTGCTAATACGTTAAGTGTTGGAGGGACAAAGTGGTGGATTGCATTTAAAGTTTTCAGAAATGTGCATCACCACCTTGAATGCATACAAATCCGAGGGATTCCAATAAATTGTACTCTCTAACGCTACTACCTGAATCCCCGCTTCATTTTTAAAACCTTGTTTCTTATCTTCCGTCCACCCTATATAAGTCTTCCATACAAACAGTTTTCTTCTATGTATTCATATGAGACAATTAAGAATTTGTACATACCATAATCATTTTTATTGACCTCATAAAATGGAATTTTAAGCAGCGGCCACTCCTCTGTATTTCCAGTAAATATGGGTTAATCTCTTTAACGTCTCTCGAACGCAAGATATTCTAGTCTAGCCAAGGTACCTTATCGTCATTTATTCAAGGAGTACATTTTTACCCTTTCAACTATGTTGTCGGACCGCTTCGATTCGAAGTGGTAATGCGTAGCAACAGAGCTAATGCCATTTATGCCAGGGAGAGAGAGAGAAAGAGAGAGAGAGATATCTATTATAAGGTCTTGACAACACTTGGCTACGAATTGATTGACTAACTAACTAAAGGACAAATAATCTAATGTGGACCCCTTCTATTTATTATTCCTCTTCCTCGGAAAAGTTGAAATCTGGAGTTCTACAAGGAACCGCACTCGGGCCAAAACATTACGGTCTTTATAAAAGTTAAAGGTTAAAAGTTTTGGCATAAAATTTTTTTTAATGAAGAAATTTATTCAAACACGGACTAGTTATCATAAATTTCAACTCAAACCTAAACTATACCTACTATCGAATTACGTAGAGTAGCCCATTCTGCTCTACCAGACACAACTTTCTTCGAACTTCTCTCATGAGGTCCTAGACGGAATTCAGATAAATTTTTCTGCCTTATGCGTGAATTCGCTGTCTTAATAGTTCTTAATATTGGGCTTCCTAGCCTCCATAATAAACCTTTCTAAGCAAAGCTCAAAAACCCTCTATTGAACGAGCCTGCGGCAGGTTTTGAGGATTATCGTTTTGGGGAACAAAGGTATGTTGTGAAATGCGAAAGGCTGTCGCGGTCATCATTCAGTGTTATTTGGTTGGTTTTTGGTTTTTAGCGCATATCGCAAGTACTTCATTTCTTACTTTAAAATGAAAGACTAGGATGTAACTTGCCCGAAAATATCATTTTTTCTTGCTTGCTATTTTATAGAACTTCAAAAAGTTTTGTCCAAAACGGACGCAGGAAAGTAAACGCATATTAAAACAAGAAAGATTGATATTCAAATCTTACTTTATTTTGAAGGTTCATTTAGACCATTTATGTATGAAAAATAATATCGCTCAAATGTTTACCACGACTGGATTTACAGACGTCCACGCGATGGTCCAAATTTTCAGGACATTTTGCAACATGGTCGGTTCTATGGCATTTATCTCGGCAATGATGTTGTTTTTTTGAGTTCTTGGAGGGTGGATGGTTTGTTGACGTAGACTTTGCTTTTCAAATATCCCCATAAAAAGAAGTCCAAGGGAGTCAAATCGCACGAATTTGGTGGCCATGGCACATTTGCACTGCGCGAAATCACGCGATCACCGAAGAAGGACTGCAATCGATGGATATTGACGTTGGTTGTGTGGCATGTTGCACCGTCTTGTTGGAAATAAACGTCGTCCATATCCATTCCTTCAAGTTGCGGCAAAAAATAGTCCTCTATCATCACGTGATATCGCTCAGAATTGACGGGAACGGCGTCCCCGGCCGCATTTTCGAAAAAGTAAGGTCCGATGATGCCTTTTGACCACAATGCACACCACACAGTCACTTTTTGAGGATGCATCGGCTGCTCTTGATACTCACGGGGATTTTCGTTCGCCCAGATGCGGCAGTTTTGCTTGTTTACCGTCCCATTCAAAGTGAAATGCGCTTCGTCGCTGAACATGATTTTTGATGAAAAATTGGCATCAATTTGGCGGTGTTCAAGGACCCAATCTGAGAACGTTCGGCGCGAAAAATGGTCGGCCCGACGCAGCTCTTGCGTCAATTGGATCTTGTAGGCGTGTACATTCAAATCCTTGTGGAGAATGCGGAGCAAACTGGTTCTCGAAATGCCCAATTCTTGGGATCGACGCGTTGTTGATTGTTTCGGATTGTCTCTCACACTCTCCTTCACAACAGCAATATTTTCCGATGTGCGAACGCTCCTTGGCCGGCCAGAGCCTGGCAGATTTGCCACAGAACCTGTTGCCTCGAATTTACGCACCAGACGACCGATGGTTGTTTCGTTTGGGCGGTTGTTGCGACCGAAATGTTCACGAAGCGCGCGAAACGTGTTTTTTATTTTTGCACCATTTTTGTAGTGCTCTTGAATAACTTTAATGCGGTCTTCAATCGAATACGACTCCATAGCGATCCATGGTAAACATTCAACTAACAAAATGACATGTCGGTGACAGAAAACAAAGATGGCGTCTATGTCAAATTGACGTTTACTTTCCTGCGTCCCTATTGGACATTTAGTATCATATACGCATTGCGTGCTACTACAGAATTTGGGTGATTAGCTCCTACTTGTCCTGGATTCGATGTTGATTAACTAATTATAAGCTTCATTTTATTTGAATGCCACTGTAAAATACTACTTATATGGTTGACTAAATGTGAGGCATCCCTTACCTTTGATTGGATATCATCCCACACGTCAGCCAAAGTATTCATCCCTGTTGAGGTAAGATTGTAGTGGTGTATAATGCCAAGCCTCAATTCTTCGCTCAACGTGTGCTTCAAGTCTTCTCTAAAAAAGTACGCAACTGTTCCGAGGGTGATTTCCACTACGAAAATAAACAGCACCATGCTAAAATACTGAGAAATGACAGTATGAAAAGCAGGAAATCAGTTAAGAACTATTTTAGATCTGCGTTACATAGTACCACTCAGATATTTTATGGACTGATCTACAGGTAGAAAAATATATTTTTAAGTAGTTTCCAAAAAAAGCTTTGAGATAATGATATGAAATTTTGTAAGGAATGAACTCAAAATTAACTTTGAGTCCGATAAGTTAAATTCTGATTAACACGTATTAATAGCAAATCGAACTAAAAAGTAGAATATAATTTTCAGGGTAAGGAGAGTTTATGTTACTAATAGAAAGTCCAACAATGAAGTATGTCTGATAAATTTCGATACGATTAATATAAAAATTAAGGTGTCAATTAAAACAAATCAGTGAAAAAGTTTGATACTAAATATATGTTATCTTTTTAGTTGCTATTCACAAAAAAGGAGTTATTATGAAAATATAGGTAGTTAATTGCAACCCACGGTTTTTCACTATGACTGAATTTTTGGTTAATATCCTAATTTTTATATTAATCTTGGTCCACTTTTCATTGTTGGACTTTATATTATTTAGTTATTTTTAGCTAAAATTTGTTTTCTGAATTTTTAGTCTCAAAACAACAACAAAAGCGCTTATCAAGAGCTTTTATTTTTTATATTTCATATTTGAAATTATATCCAAATGTACTTCAAAATTTAGAAATTTCCAATATGTTTTCAGAATGTTTTTCCAAATGTCCGAATTTTCCGAATTTTCAAAAGAGGGCAATTTGTTTTCTTGAGCATTAAGGAAGAAAATTATTAATTAATTGATTTATTTACTATTACTATTAAAATTTTGAGTTCTCACCGTGAACAGCATGCACCTACTTTGGTACCAAGATCCACAGCACGCCAAAAATGAGAAAATAAACGCCAATATTCCTAGAGCTATGATCAGTGCATCAACATCCAAGAATGGGTATTGAGGAACAAGAGTCGCATAACCTTCGTGGGCTATCCTTAGCCAAAGTCCTATGCCTAGGACTACACAAGCTGACACCTGCAATATAAAGAACAATATTTTACTCAAGAATTTTGAACAAAATTGTGGAGTATTTTTTGGACCGCCTGCATCCGTTTTAACGACTTTAATACCATATCTCCTGCTATTATTTCAAGCATAGGAATCATTAAAATCATGCATATGATTTAGATTAGTTCTAGTTAATTCAGGCATTTTAGCGAAAATCAAACTAAGCTGTTGAGTGTGAGTTGTGTTGTGTTGTGTTGAAGGTAGGTCAGGAAAATAATTTTTGATTTGCAAAAAATAGGTTTAAAAAATGTTGGTTTTTTTTCAATTTAATTAATCGCTAAAGGAGTGAAACTTGGACCATTTTTTAGCCCTAAAACACTCATAGACCGAGCAAACAATTTTCAAGTTATTGCAATGAAACCACTGAAAATCTGTCAATTTATTATTTACCTTGGTCACGTCTATTCGCACGACCTCTCTCTCTCTCTCTCTCTCTATGTGACAAATATGTGCTCTGACACGCTATAAAAGCACAAATGATTCAAAAACAAAATATCTTTGATTTTTGTTTTTTTTATTTTTGAAAAAAGTTGTTTTTAATGTAAATCAGCTCGGAGAAATCTAACGATTCCCGACTTGACTTTATTTTGTAGAAAAGATTTTGTTGCACGATAGTAAACAGATCATCTTACAGTACAACAGTCAAATTTTCTTGTATTGAAATTATATGTTTTTCTGCCATCACAACTCCCGTTGATCTACTTGGTCGCAAATCCGGCACTACCACACGTTCTCAACACTTTATTAGCTATTTCTGTCATGTGTGCTACCGATTCATCAGCATACCCTACAGAGACCGTCGATGACTTCCAATCGCCATGCTTCTTTAGCGTCATCAAGTCTCTCCCAGATTCAACTAAAAGTGTAGCAGACGATCTTCGAAATGAATGAATGACCTGTATATGAGTTAGCATTTTCAAGTTGAAGAAAATTAGCCATGGTCTCGGGAACCTTATAAAACTGGCTTTTTTACCCACAACGAGAATGTTCCATTGTGATATGCATAAAACAGGCGGCGATCCTTTGCTGCTGCTGGATGACATTCGGTAAAATTTAATATATTTTTCAGTAACTACAAATCTCCTGTTTACACCATTCTTTATTTTCTTAAGTTTCACAATTAATAACGTTCCCGAATCTTTTATATCATCTAATGTTATCTTTCTGATTTCACAACTTCGATAAACTCCTCCAATCCCACCCCAAATACAACCTTGACCATTAAATAAACTTCATCGGGAGCATTATTTAAAAAATCACTAATTTGTATACTCGTGAAAATCGCAGCCTTCTTGGTCTTGTAACCTTTCCCATTCTATTTCAGAAATGTAATTATTTTGAAATACTTTGAAATTATTTATTATTTGTTCGTAACATACTTGTCATTGAATAATTCGACCACACTGTTGATGGCTTTTGTTGTTGTGCCAATTCCGAAAAAGAAGCCAATAATACCATCTCCGATAAAGAACTTCATGATTGTTACATCTTCTATTGCATGAATCTTGAATACGCGGTTCCGTAAATTTTCAGCGATTTAGCTGGCAATAATTTTTGTGACGCTAGTTTGCCTTCTACTAATTCCGGTGGAGTCAAAGAAAACTCCGAATCAGACATTTTTTATTATGACTAAAAATAACTTCTAAACAACCACTAAGTTCACAATTTTTAAATCAAATCACAAAATTATATTGACAGCTATTTGGTTACTTTAAAAGTTTTCTTAGCAGCGCAAGTCTAATTGTTACTATAAGTACTACAACATAGTAATTTCAAAATTCAAACTCCACATCGATAATTTTCTGACTTAAATAGTGTACTAATATAATTTTTCAATATTAAATCGTCGTTTTACCCGTCACAGAAAAAAATGTTAGCTTTCGGTTTTTTGTCAATACAACCTCAAAGTAAAATCTAGTACATTTTCCCTTGTAGGAGTATAATAACTATTTTTCAAAAAAACTGCAAAAAAAACAAAAACCCGAGATATTTTTGCTTGGAATTTATTGTTCTTGTACTGTGAATGCTTTAGGGCTAAAAAGTGGGACCAGCATTTATTACCTTAGCAATAAAATGATGAAAAAAATAAAAAATGATTTTTCGCAATTGTAATCCCGGCACTACCGGTATTCTCGTAGAGTAATCCTTTTTACACGTTTTTATCGAGTAATTTGACCACTTTTAATTTCCCCTAAACATTTTGCTATATTTGATAGACTATTAGATCTAGACATCTAGAGAATAAGCGGACCGGGACAGAAGCCATCTCCAAATTTAAGCTGGGAAACAGTTGTCCATACACGCCTTACGTGTTATTGAGCTAGGAGTTTCTATTTTGGTCCTTTCAATCGCAGTACAAACGCGGCAACTACATAATATTTGTCTTTCTACATAAAGCAGTTCCTACTGAGCATAGAAACTATATCAATATTCTCACATAAAGTCATTACCTAGCCAACCACTTGTCTAGTAAGACCACACATATTTATACCTGTCAACAAGGATACACTATATTTATCTATGGACGTAGGACGTAATGAGAAGTCATCATCTGGTATAGTAGTAGACGTCTAATCGAAATATAATAACATTATTTACGTCATTTGATCACAGACTGTTTTTTATACATGCTTTCTCTATAAGTAATTTTTTACAAGTTAATATGGTAGGATGTTAACGATAAATTTTATAAACAGGCTGAATCCGAAACATAGGCCAAACATTCTTGTAGTGATTCTATTTTTGATTTTTATCCTTCGAAAATCATTTCGAAGAAATTTAAAATGTTCTAAGTAGCTTTTTTTAATTTCTTCAGTTCAAGAAGACGATTTCCAAAATGCAAGGCTTCAATATTCTCGGCCTCCAGATAAGCCAACGGCGATCTGATTCTAACTGAACATATACCCCATAAATCGCTTTTGAGCACGCCTTGCCGTTTTGCATAATATGATCCGCTATGACTATAGGCCAGGAAATAGAACAATTTTGTATAAGGAAATCTTACAATAATACAACAGTAATTTTTTTGGCGGTATAGTTTGATTATTGCTTCCTAATGAAAAGTTCATATTGGCGTCATAGGGATGGAGCATTTACCGCCATTTTGATGAGCGCGTTTGATCGAGAATCTCAAAAAACGTCGATCCTATATAAAAAAGTAATAGAAACAGTCTTACAGGCAATTGAACTTATCATCATTTTGCTCATAGAAAAATGTGTCGTTTAGTCAACAGTGTACGAGAAATCAAGGGGTAAATAAATGTACATGCAATGACTTTTTCGCTTATATTGGCTAAACCAAAAATGTAGGAGTTATGTCTTTGTGGAGAATACAATTTTCTCCACCTTCACGTTTCTTAGAGTACAAAAAGGGAACTTATAATATAATCTCACGAATTCCAATAACCTCATAAAATTACACTCCAAGCTTAGTTTTTCTCGTGGCGGATCCATCAACGTCGCTAAAATTCGAGATCGAGAGCGCCAGCGATGTTATCATACGCAGAGATTAATGTACGAAGGAAAAGGTCACAGACAGAAGAAGCGTCTGTTAATATTTAACTAAGCTTTAATGGCTAATGTACCGAGAAATCTATGATGTCTGAAATATGTCTAATGGGTGCGTGGAATCACCAAGGTTGAAAATGTATTAATATACATATGATTCGTCTCCTCCCCGTATAAGCCTCCACCCCAATACTGTACCCCTAACATTTTTTCAAAAATGATCCTGAATCTGAAACGTCAAAAACGGAGTTTGAGCGTTTTTTTTTTATTTCCTTTTTGGCTTTTTTCCCCACCACCAAACGACAACTTAAAGGGAAAACGTCAAAACAAATTAATGTCAACTGACAGTAAAGTAAGGAAAGAAACTTTTGTTTCCAAATGCAACTTGATATTATTTTGTGTTTGTTAAAGTCAATGCATTTTGTGCCAAAACTTTTAGGGCATACATTACGAGAGTAGTCATATCTCACTATAGCGTTATTTGAACAATATTCAAGTTTTTACCTTTATTTAAGGTCATCAGTGGCATAGACATTTATAACACCATGTATCCTGGTAATGGGACACTAGTTATTTTTGGATGTACTTTGTATCCTAAAAATATTGCCACGTTTTTCTGCATTTCATATGATTATTATTGTCTCTTTAGACGGTTTTGACTATCGTATGCTCTGAGAGACGATAATATGGATAATGCTCCATTCTTCTAATTCTTTTGTGACCAATTTCATAAGGATTAAGCTCAGTAAGAGTTTTACGGTTTCCATGTGCCCGAATATCGTAACTGCAGACAGTACAGAATCTTCCTTTTATAGGCTTAATTAATTTCGATAACATTGCATATTAAGGAAAAATACACACCATTTTTTAGTTTGGACTTGAAAGACATCCAAAACTAATCTCGATGACATACTCCAACATTACTAACACTAACGGAGCAGAATATTAAAATAACGCTTGCACTAGTTCACGCGTATCGATATTTGGGTCACTGATCTATTTATATTGTGTAACAAAACTATGGGTTTACCACTTGTTCTCAATGAGCCATCAACGAGATTCTTCTTTTTGATTGCAACTTAGATCAAGCAAGTCTCGTCGAGTATTTTACCATTTTTTTATTATCCCGCTTTTATCTTATACTGGCTGCAAATATCTAGGTTGGTATACTCGTAATACAGTCTTTTATCTACATTTAGCTTTACCAAAATAGAAGGCCTCAGAAAATTATGTCCGACAAAATATATCTGTGAAACAGATAAAGGTATCACATACAGTAATGGACAGACAAATCAATATTGTGCTGTATTTCTTTTTTAACTTGTTTTATTAATACACCAACCTGTATACATAATTCGCTATAGCATAATACTCACTTATACATAAATAAATTCATTAGACTCCCTTCAATAAAAAATTAATTGAAAAAACTGGAACTATGAAGGACAAAAATATATAGACAAAGCAAAACAATTATAGAAAAAAGAAGCAAAGTTCATTGAATTATAGAAAACCAACCATGTTTATGATAATATTTTGAAGCATAACCATTATTATCAATCACCGCGTGGCATCGTCTCGGCATAGATTGTAGAAGTTTCTTGATATAAGATTCATCAATCTGTCTCCACTTTTGCTCTAAAGCGGCTAAAAGGTCATCCTTGTTTGAATAATTTTTATCTCGTATTTGCTGATCTGACTATTCCCATAGATTTTCAATGGGGTTTATATCGGGAGACTGTGAAGGCCATTTGAGAACTGGTATTTTTTCATCCAGAGAGAATTTCTTTGCAAGATTTGAAGTGTGCTTCGGGCCATTATCTGAAGGGCATATTGTCTTCCATATAGGGTCACATGACATGCTTTAGTATGTCTGTGTATACAAACTTATCCATAATGCCATCTATTATATGTAAAGGTTCCATCCCAAACCCCGAAAAGCATCCCCAAACCATAGCAGACCCGCCTCCATGTTTGACAGGGGGCAAAATGTACTTGGGATTCAATCTTTGTCCACACTGACAAATTCCTTTTGTCTCGATTTGGGCTTTTATTTGTCTTGGGGTTATAAACGGATCTTTGGACGAAATTACTTTTATTAATCTAACTGATCTAGCATTTAGTTTTCTAGGCCGACCACTTCTTTTAGAGGCTTCCAAGATGCCTTTTTGTTTATATTTGTTCAATATTGTCCAAACGGCTTTACGCTTCAGCTTCAAATTTTTGGTAATGCCAAGGTAATAACAAGGAATTTAGTTTTTCTACTTATAACGCATGGAGCAATGAAGTATGAAATCGTTTTCTAAAGGTATACTAAGTGACATATAAATCCGAACACCCAGTTTAAATGGTTTTATTTTAATAAAATTTGGTATAAGTACTTAATGAAGCATAATAAGTAAATGATAAATTTTTTTTTTAAAGCCCTTTGACCTTTAATAATGTGTGGATGCACCCTGATGTGCTACGCATTCTCCAACGCGCCTAGGCATGCTTCTGATCAGGTGGTCAATGTCCTCCTGTGGTATCTCATTCCAGGCAACCACCAACTCCTCTCGAAGTGCTTCTAGAGTCTGAGGAGGACGTTGCAAATTGAGCAATCTCCTACCCATGATATCCCACACGTGCTCAATTGGGGATAAGTCGGGAGATCTTGGTGCCCATGGTAACAATGTGACATCATTATGTTGAAAGAAGTCTATTGTGACTCTTGCAACATGTGGTCGGGCATTATCTTGTAGGAAAGTTGGATCTGCCAGGGTGTCAAGATTGGGTAAAAGATGGGGTTCTAGAACTTCGTGGATATAACGCTGCGCGTTCATGTTACCTCTGATGAAGATTAAAGGTGACCTGGAACCATAAGCTATACCCCAAACCATAACTCCAACAGTGTGATGAACATGTCTTTCAACAAAAAACTGTAGATTCCTCCTTTCACCACGTCGCCTTCTAACCCTGGCATGACCATCGTGCATGCCTAAACAAAATCGAGACTCGTCACTAAAGACAATACTGTTCCATTCCTGATCCCAGATTGACCGTTGTCTGCACCACTCAAGGCGATTACGTCGGTGTTCTCGAGTTAAAGGGAGGACCCAGTGTGGCCGGTATGAAAACAAGCCAAAACTTCTCATTCGTCGGTAAACACTTCGCATGCCAATAGGTCTTCCGTGTTCTGCAAACCATTCATTTGCAATAGACCTGGTAGTGGAGAAATGGTCGCTTAAGGCCAATAATCTTAGGCGGCGATCTTCACGGTCTGTTGTTCTACGGCGGCGTCCAGTGCCCCTTGCTCTTTGCGTACGGCATTCTCGAAGCCATGCCTGACAACACCTAACCACAGTGTCTACAGTTCTTTGCACTCTAACTGCAATTGCCCGAAAAGAAAGTCCAGCTTCCCGAAATCCCACTATACGGCCCCTATCAAACTCACTAAGTTGACGAAATCGTACAGGTCTCCGTACTCTAGGCAGCGTAACCGATCGTAAAGGATGTCAAGAACCAAAATCCGCCAACGTTGATTCTTTACTGCGGCTGAAGTATTCATTTTTAGAGCGTTAGTGAATTAAAAAAAAGCAGTATAAAAACCGGAATGTCCACCTGATAAGGCTGAAAATTTTTTCACTTGTTATTTACAGTAAGATAAATGCATTCACCAACTTTTATTAAAATAAAACCTTTTAAACTGGGTGTTCGGATTTATATGTCACTTAGTATATTTAGATAAATATTCATATTAGTCTATATCCTACTTTTATCCATTACTGTACATCATATTTATTATTTAAAGTATTATTAACGTCACCTACATTTGGAACATTCTTGCATTTCTTTATAAATTCCTGTGCAGTTCTTCTTTTTAAAAAAAAAAATGATTTTGAAAATTGAATAGAACCAACTCTCAATACTGTTATTTAGATAAATTTCATGTGCTATTCTTAATCAGAACCATCCGTGGCGTAAAAACTTGCTTATGCAAGCATCTTGTATTTATCTTTCGATGTATTTTCTACTAAAGAAAGTGTACCATGGCTTTTGTGTCATTCGTCATATTAAAAACTTAGCGGTTGTCCTTTACCTATACTTACCCAGAAAATAATGTTGATCCAGCAAAACACCAGTCTTATACACGTATATCCGTTTGTAGACATTTTTCGTTACCTGAGTACCTGTAATGAAATAGAAAAACAATTGGTAATACCATTTATAGCTTTCAATTATCTTTATATGTAACTGTAATGAATCTAAAAATGGTGAGCAATACTTTTTGAGGTTCATTAGGCGGATGTACTTATGCTGGGTTCCATAGAAGCTGAACCGTAGATGCCGCAATGTACGAGGATGAATCAAATATGAACCGGACTTTTCTGTTTAACGCGCCATATATGCATGGGGTGGACGTCTTCGTATATGTTGAGTGGAGATGTCAGGAAGAGGTGGAGTCAGTTTATATTTTATTAGTATTTATAGACTCCCAAACCCGGTAATTCTATCCACAGTTTAGCCATATTGCATACTTCATAGATTTCCCCGTATATTTGCCTATAAAACTTAGAATGATAGATAACCGATGTCATTTATATGGACATCGAAAAGGCATTTGATAGAGTATATTTAGGTATCTTTTTAACAGGAGTCAATATGTTGATTATAAAGGATATCGTTCACCTCTTATAAAGCCTACTTCAGGAATCTCCAAGGCTCGAATCTAGTTCCCTTACTATTTATCTTATTTATAAACGATCTAACTCTTGACTTGCACTGTTCAAATTTATTATATGCAGATGACCTTGAAATATACAACTATGTCAGTACTATCGATGACTGCCTTATCTTGCAGCAAGATATTATCACAGTGTCTTCATGGTGCCATGCCAGTCATCCTTAAACGCGGACAAGTGCTTTGTTGTGTCTTTCACAAGGAAATCAAACATCTTAAATTTTAACTACTACCTTGGACACGTTAGCCTTAAGCGTCAAGAGCAAATCGATGACTTACGAATCATATTTGATTAAAAAATGTCTTTTTCAACTCATATCGACACGACTGTTTCGTCGGCTAGTAGGATGTTGGGATTTATCATGAGGAGTGCTAGAGAATTTTCTATTTCAGTACTAAATATTCTATATGTAAGTTATGTACGTAGCAAGTTGGAGTATGGTATCTTGATTTGGTACCCACATTGCGCAACACACATTAGTAAGATAGAACGTGTTCAGAGAAAATTTTTGAGATTATGCATTTTGACAAAACTGGTTTATTCCCAAAAAGAGGATTTGATTACTCTTTGCTGCTTAATGAAGCAAACTTAATTTCTCTTAACACACGACATATCTTTCTAACAACGAGTTTCTTGTGCAAACAGACGTAACACCAAAAATTCTAGAGTATTTTATTGTGAATGCCCTAGAACCAACATTTTAGCTAAGCCGCCTATTTCGATAATTTGTAACAATTTTAATTTGATATGCAACAGCTGTGACATCAATTTTTCCCCTATCTCGCTAGTTTATAGTTCTATTATTCAGATCACATTTAATATGTAACTTTTTCGAAATATCTTTTTTATATTATTCAAGTGTTTATTTTTATATAACATTATATTTTTTTCTTTTACATAAAACGAAATGTTCATTTGATTTTACGCATTTCCTGTTATTGGGTGCACATGTACCTGTTGGAAATAAATGTCTATCTATCTATCTATCTAACTGTTTTCGATCGAAATATGTTAAGATGTTGCGGTTTTAAATCTTGCTGGTACACGAAAATCAGCAAAGATTAACACTGGCACAATGTATTATTCCCTCAATTCTTCTAACTGTGCCTTAAAGCGATTGGAAATTTGAGAAATGTCGGAGGACGAAGTTTGTGGTTCCTAGTAATTTTACACAGAAATAGAGCAGACGCCAAAAAGACAGACACATAGACCGACGGAATTAAGTGACATAACTTCTCATGGTGAACGTCATAAATTAAAACTATTTTATTACATTTCCCAGTATTATTGAACATACAAACAAAAGTGGCAACCACACGGCGCAATGGTGGAGTACTTCGCTACTGGAAGAGCAGCCAAAAACTGATTAATCCCTTTGCTTGATAGTCTAAGAAATATAGCAAAATCGTTGGGAGAAATTCCAAGGGGAAAAGGATAACTGGACGAGACTGTGACTACCACAGCGGGGTTATTTCATCGCCAAGAGAATGAACGTTGGTTCCTTTCTTCAAATTATTGCAAAGAAAACACAATTTACCTTAGGTGCCTTTTATCACGCGACACTGACCTCTAACCATGTGAAAAATACGTTCTCTGACAAGTTATAAAGCACAATAAATTCCAAACCACAATCTCAGTTTTTTTCTGGTGCATCTTTCGAAATAATGTTTTTTTTAATACAGGGTGTTTCAGTTTATTATTGCATAACTTTAAGATTCGATAGAACTTTCAAAATTAATGCATAAAGTCTATATACACATGGGTCGAAAAATGCGTGGCTTCCGAAATACAGGGTGTTTAAATATATATTTTTAAAATAGTTTTTTTTTTAATATTTCGAACAATATTTGATGTATAACAGTGAAAATTGGTATACAAGGGTTTTTTGGTACGACAAAACGAACCATGGGCATAGGTTTACTGTAGCCGCTAGAGGGCGCCCTCTACTGTACCTGTAGTGTATTAAAATTACCGAAAATTTTTTCTTGGTGCAATTTTTTGCTTTTTGAATAAAAAAACTGATTCTTCGCACTTTTCAACATAAAAAGCTCTCTTGTGAATTTTCGTTATAGTTAGCCGTTTTTGAGATACTTCGATTTTTGAGGTTTGATGCATTTTTAATTATTTATGATAAAATAACGTTAAAAAGTCAGTATCTCAATAATTTTTAGAAGTAGGCTGTGCCTGCAAATATTTTTGAAATTGAAAGCAGAATAAGTTTAAACGTCAATTAGTTGACAGTTAGTTTTGTTGTCTGTTGAAACCTGAAACGTTTTTTTGCAATTGTGAATGCACGAAATTTAGTTTCTTTTACCTGTTTTTTTTTGTAAGTTTTATAAAAATGCCATTTTTATTCTCCAATCAAGAGTTAGCGGATATTCATTTTGTGTATGGCTTTGGAAATGGAAATCCAGCAGAAGCAGCCAGAGAATTGTGTATTGAACAATTGGGTTTACATTTCGAGCAATTACTTTAGATTTTGTATGTTTGTCCTAACTATCCAATAGCATTTTACTTGTAAATAATTAATTTAATTTGTTAAAAATAATATTGGAAAATTAAACAAATTAATATTCTGTTTTTTGTGTTTATTTGGAGTTAGGAATTATTGCTGTGTTTAAAAACACAATCTAAACGATCATCTTAATTACTTACTTACTAAAATATTATTTTCCCATAAATAATTAAAAATGCATCGAAGCTTAAAAATCGAAGTAAATCAAAAACGGCTAACTATAACGAAAACTCACTGGAGAGCATTTTTATGCAGAAAAGTGCGAAGAATCAGTTTTTTTATTCAAAACGCAAAAAATTGCACTAAGAAAATTTTTTCTGTCATGTTAATACACTACAGGTACAGTAGAGAGCGCCCTCTAGCGGCTACAGTAAAACTATGCCCATGGTTCATTTTGTCGTACCAAAAAACCCTTGTATACCAATTTCCACTGTTATACATCAAATATTGTTCGAAATATTTAAAAAAAACTATTTTAGAAAGTAAATTTAAACACCCTGTATTTCGGAAGCCACGTATTTTTCGACCCATGTTTATATGGACTTTATGCATTAATTTTAAAAGTTCTATCGAATCTTAAAGTTATGCAACAATAAACTGTATATTCGACAGCTCCGTGGCAATTTTATGAATAATTAAAACGATCCCCCCACCACCACTGCAATTGCGAGGAGTTGATTATTTTTGTGGGCTTTGAAATGCCTGCCTTTAATAACAATAACTACAGGAGTACATAGTTTAATCTACTAACGCATTTATTATTAATTATTATTTTCTTAAATCACAGAAGTCCGTCTGTTTAACATATTAATCACAAGAGTACGACATTTTTTTTATATCAAAGTAGCCGCGCAGGCAGAAGCCTAAATGCCGGAACACCGCGGCTGCTATGATGATCCCAAAGAAATTTTGTTAACACGATTTTTGAACTGCCTAAAGTTAGTAGAACTTGGACAAGCTTCCTCTTGTAGATTGTTCCACCATCTCGACACCCTCGGGACAATGGAGCGGTCGTATCGGCCAGTACTGGATGTACGAAGTTCGACACGGTTAGGATGGAACGCCAAAGTCAGGCGGGTCTGTCTGGCATATCTACCATATTAGCTAGTATAATAAATTTAAAAAAAAACAACTTTTTTAAACGGCTATAAAGACTAAAATCGGAGATATCTTGCTTAGGAATTTAGTGCATGTCTGAGTGCATATTGATAACAGGATTAGAGGCCAGTGTTGCACGAATAGAAGTAATCAAAGTAAAAAGTTAAATATCTGATTTTTAGCTGTAATATTGCAATAATTAGAATCAATTGCTCGTTTTTGATGTACGAAACCTTAATCTATGGGTATTTAATGGCTGAAAAAGTGTCCAAAGTTTATTTCCTCAACGATTTTTTATATATTTCTAACCTTTTCTTGGAATAGAAACTAGACGCACTACATTTTTCCTGACCCGACCCATATTCTCGGTCAGTAATCATTTTCATAACATCACTCAATTGCTGCTGCCCGCTGTAGGTGCAATGAACAGTGAATTATAATATATGGGTTCTAAATATAACAGATATTTTGCCTTACAATAAGAGTTTTCTTCGAAATTGATCATTTCAACTTCGACCTTTTCTTTTCTTAACAGTGAAGCCATATTTGTACGATATTCGAAATATAAATAACTTGGTTCCCGATAACCAGCGATAATGCTTCAGGTACTACTCTACTTTTGAAGCACATGTTGCAGCTTTTATGATACGCAGTATATGTCAAGATATATGCTTGCTAATAAAATATAATGAAGCAAAGACTATAAAATAGTTACAACACATACATACAACCTTGATGGTCACAAGTAATCTGTTTATTAACAATTTTTGAAGAGAAATGTGACGGCACAAAGAAAATTTTGTTTATTTTTATTGTCAGACACTTAAGCGCAATACACGAAATGCGTTACAAATATAAAACAGAAACTAGCACA